CCGTACTATCTCAAGTTAGGTCCAAGAAGCCAGGCCACTGGAAGAAATCTCATTTTATCCTCCTAATTATTATGCTGGCACTCAGGAGATAATTTTTCCCTTCATGCACTGCCAATTAATATGCAAATGTACTGATAAATATTTATGCAATGATTTAAATTATGCAGGGGAGTGCTTTCAGTGTATTCTGTAAATGAATTGTTCGTGGACTTCAAAGTACTGGCTGCTGTGCTAACGAGGAGAGATTTGCATAAGGCCCTAATCACGCGCATACTGATAAAGCTTCATTATGGAAACTGCCAGCTGCAATCTTTGTTTCTATTTTATTACAAAAAGAGGAACTTTTCATGCTTCAGTTGCCTTGACAATGTCAGTCCTAGCTGGTAGGAGAGGCTAAAACTCCTCTGAGCAACTGAAGTTTCCTTATTCAGTTGAAGATTGCTATGGTGTAACTGAAGTTGTATTTCGCTTCTCCCCCAATCCACTTTCCACCTCCCACCCTTGTTCTTTTAAGAATATAGTGTAGATTTGTTAGAAATAATAGTACCTTCTTTCCCCTACCCCAAACTGCTACCTGTTTCTTCCTTGCTTTGGACTGTCTGAACCTCTAGAAGATTTCACAGCAATGCTGGACTGCAGTGACTATGTTCTAGGTGGGTACCAGCACGGTTCTTTCTTATAAGCTTTAATATGGAAATAGCATGTGTGGAGTTGACTATGCATAAATGCTTAATCGCATATGCAACCAACTCGGGGGAGGGGGGAGAAGTGGATTGAGCTGGGAAGGAGGAAAGCATTTGCAAAGCACAAGCCTGCTTGAATTTGCAGTAGGTCCCTCCCTACCACTAGCTCTTCTGGTTCAGAGGATATTTTCAGTAAATAGTGTGGATTTAGAGTTCAACTTGAATGGAGGACATTTTTGCTTTTTGGAAATTTCTATTGAGAGCATTTCATGTAGTTCTAAGAACAGTCTAAATCTGAAACAAGGTATAAAGTGTACCTAAATAATATGTACATATTAATTTTAAAAGTTTTGCATACCGAATGTGAATGTCTTCTATAAAAAATGCCTAGTGAAAAATAAGATGGAGCCATAGTGCATAGTTGTTCCCATAAACGCTAATGCAGAAGGTAATTGGAATGGTTACTGCAATAGGACTGTTCATCAATTTCCAGATTTTAGAAACAGTTAACTGTTTTCAAATTTTGGCTAATACTAGTCTTTTTTATTTTTAAAAAATCAACTTCTGTTCTTCAGGAAACAATTTTTAAGTGCTGGAAAGCCTGTTTTTAGAGTTTTTCCTATAGAACAACAAGATTTGGGGAGGGGGATGTGTGGCTTGAATATATAAGCTCTCTTTGGTGATTAAGATTTAAAATAGATTGAGGCACTTTGTTTTTTAGACTTACTGTGACCATGGTGGCCATATTTTGTGTTGAGTTTTTTCTGTTTGTATGCAAAATTGTTGAAACCTCTTTGGGTTACTCTGGTCACCTCTCCAGGTGATGATAAGAACTCCAGGTCTCTGATATCTTAGTTTTAAAACCTCTACAAATGATTTTTTTTTCCTGTAGGTAATTTTTCCTGCTTGAAAAATTGAGGCTGGCCCCCATCACCATCACAATAGCTCCGGATAAAATAAAATGATAGTTCTGAAAATGTTTGAATTTTTAGCTGGAAGGCATGGCCTAAACCCAGGGTAGTACTAATACTTGTACAGCATGATAAAAATCACTATTAGAAAGGTGAATGACTAAAATAACAAACTGATGTCAAGAATTCAATCCAAGAGCAACCTGTAGACTGTGTATTAGACTCATACAGTCAGTTCAGTGTGCCCAGAGGGAAAAAACAAACTTCACATATCAGAAAAAGAACTTGTATTTACTCTTTTACATCTACTAAGTTGGGAACTCAAGAAAGGAAAGGAAAGTACCTTTCTGAAATATTTTTAGCATTATATTTTAGAATTAGACATTATATCTGTAATTTTCAGTTCACAGTAAATATCATTTAAACATTCTTCCATTCCATTCCAATGTACAACATTCATAGTTGTTCAATTAATCAGGATTTGGTTTTATTTATTTTTGTGTATGTGTATTAAACTCTTGACAGTTTGATAGAAAGTGCATAGAAGATTCACATAGAATACCTGTGACATAATTTTTAATTTTTAGGTGTGGAAATCAGGATATGAGTTGTGCAGGTCATGACTTGTTGAGAATTATGCCTACAGCTTTGTTTTTATGGTATGTGGAAAACATTGTTACCCTTCTGATGAATGTTAACTGCTTCATCATTTTTTCCCACTTTCTTTTAAAATACATTCTAAAGGAAGCATTGAGCAGCATGTATGCTTAATGGTGTATTCTATTACATTTGTTGTGGTTTTTGTTGACTTTCATAAGATTTTGGTTAAGTCATTCAGAAAGCTGATGTTTACTAAGCTGTACACCTGTTCCTTTCAAACCTTAGTATGCTTTCAGATGATATTTAAATTTTGCTGTAGGGGGAAGGAAGTTATAGAACTACCCTCATTTATGACCACAGACATACAAATTTGAACCCTTTGAACATGTGAAGAACAAAACAAATATATGATAGAACTGCTTAAGCCCATAAGGCAAGCATTTGTTTCAAAAACTATTTGACAACATGGTTGGGACTACTAATGATTGTTTTGATTTTCTAGTTAAACATTTAAGCAGATGACAAAATGGGCTGTTCAGTCAAAAAATTGAATGTAATATATAGTTTAAGTATTATTCTCTGCTAATAGTTATAGTTAAATGGTTCTTAACCCATTGAGGGAAAAGGTAGAACTTGCTTGATAGTAAACTTCTTTGACTATAAATGTGCTAAGTTTGAGTTCAGAGGAGAAGTGGAATAAGATACATATTAAATGTATAGTTTTTACCCTTTAGAAGAGGTAGAAGAAAAGCAGACTTGTCTTTCCTCTTGCATATCTTCTAGGATACTTAATATTGCTTGATGAGAATGTATTACTATGAAAGCATTCATTTAGGATATCAAGGCAGTATAATTTTTAACTGGGTGTGGTTGTGATTTAATTTTGCAGCTATTAGATGTATCTGTTATGCCTTGTAGTCCAGCTTCTTGTACTGGTTTATGATTGAGGTTTGAATTTGATATATTCTCACTTTGACGCATGTTTAATTTGTTTTGGGGCAGGGGTTGGGGAGTAAATATGGAGATATTTTTCTTAGACATGTTTTCATTTTATTCTGTTAGGTTGAGGTATTGTCCAGTCTGTAATCAAGATTACCAGTAGATTATTTAGGTTACAATTAACAAATATCTTTACTTATGAAAAAAGAAACTTTATTTGGGAATAATATATTTTACTTTGTGAGGTACTTCTCTCCTCCTCCCTGCCCCAACTTTGTTTATTTAATATACTTTATGCTTCATATTATAAAACATTTTTCCTCTTTTTTATATTATACTCTATTATAATTTTTTTTGCAGGTTAGATTTCTGTTATTTCTCTTGGAAGAATCTTAAGGTTCTTTAGAAAGACAATTTATTTGTGGATCACTTCAGAGTTAAGGGAATCCTGAATTTCTTTCAGATAAAATTTTGTTATAGTTTGCAATGTTATAATATTGATACCATCTCTCCTTGAACTGTAGGACTGTAACAATAGTCAATATTCTTGACCTTTTCCTTTGCCACAATTTTGCCTCCCTAACCACATCCCCAGTATTTTCAAAACCTATTCTCTTCTGATTTATTGCAGACTCAAGAATGAACAATCCGTCAGAAACCAGTAAACCATCTATGGAGAGTGGAGATGGCAACACAGGTACAAGATCGTTCTCAGATCCAGCTTTTTAATTAGATGTAATAGAGCTAAAAGAAGAAACTTCCCATTTAACTGTGACTTGTATTCGGTGAATAAAGACCAATTTGAGTATTGAGTTGTCAAATATTAGCTAGTATTTGCAGGAACTCGGATTGTATTGACTTAAGATTATCTAACTTCTTCTGCAGATTGTTTCTTCTTTTGCTGCCGTATATCAGAGAAACTACAGAGTAGTTGAGAGACTAGTCCTTTGGGTCAGTTAGTTCTGGGAATGACTTACTAGCCACTTACTAAGCTGTGCGACTTCAGGCAGTTTCCCCAGTCTTTTTGAAAAAGACTTAATTTGTTCACCTATAAAATGGGGATAATAAGTTTCGTAAGTCATTGTGAGTATTAAAGGAAATGTGTTAAGCATGGTGCCAGCTACACAGCCATTCAAAAAAGTTGAATGGCTATAACAAAAAAGTTGCTCTTGTTATAGGTGTTAATCAAAATGGGAAATCTTATCCACATTCAGTATAAGTTGTATTGAAGTTATGGTGTTGTGAGTAGATAAAAACACACACCTGTTTCTAATACATCCTTTTATTTTGTAATTTTTTAAAAAAATTTACACTTGATTAAACCCTGTATCAAGAGAATATTAATACCATAAAAATGAGGAAACTGAGGCCCCCATGGGAGGAAGGTGAGTCTGTAAAGGATACATTGTCTCCACAGCCCATACTCGACATTTGACTATGTAACTTTATCAACCATTTAAGAAGGGAATTATGGGCAGGGATACCCAGAAAGTAATAGTTTCACTAGGTTTTTACTAGCAGAGAGCGTTGCCTCTTTGACTCGTGATTTTTAAAATGCCTAACTATGAGAGAGAGTAAAAATGAGAGTCACTCTTGGAGACTGTCTTTGTTTTCCACCCCTACTGGCCATAACACCTTTTAATTTGAAGTAAATGAGTTGAACCAATACAGCAGCTTCCTGCCTACATACCTTTCATTTAAAATATTTTGGTACCTGGAGATACTTGTTAATCTTTTCGTCTTTAAAGCATACCTGCCTCTTTATGTGAAACTGAGCAGTGGGGCTTTCTGCTGTATTTAACATGTCTCTCAAGTTACTCCAACTGAGGCTAGCCAGGTAGACTGCTGTAAATACATCCCGCAAAGGGGAAGGGCAGCATTCTATTCTGTCTGAAATGTCAGCCAGTCTCCTTTCTGTCCCCTGTTTGGGCTCCGCCTTGCATTTTTTTGTAGCAGCAGTCCCTCTGCCAGTATTTTGGCCATCTAGCTTAGCTGTGGGACTTGTTTGCAGAGAGAAATAGAGCAGTTGATCCCATTAAGACACTAGAAGAGAGTGAGCAGGACACCCATGCCTAAAGAATTCAGATTCAAAGAAGAGGCATGTATTTCTTAGGGAAGAGAAACAGACTCAGAATGATTGGAGAACAATGAAAAAACACTATATCGGATTCCTTGGGAATCCATTACTGTAATAGAAGTTTCAGTAGATACCATTTATTGAGCACCACATTTAATAAAACCCTGATGACATGTTTTTAAAAATCTTAAGCACTGTATGCATTACCTGATTTTTGAGTTCTTATGGCAGCCCTGCAAGTATTAGGTATTATTTCAAGGAATAGGAAATTGAGGCACAAAACCAGCCGGGAAATAAAGGCAGGATTAGGATTTACACCCTGCATATGGTTTACACCCTGCATATGGTTTCTCCCATGAACTGTAATAAAATAAAACTGAAAATTTAAGCAAAGCTTTGTATATATATATTTGGGTCTAAAACCATTTATAGAGCTATGTAAGATAAATTCTAGCTGGAACACTTGCTGAAACAGTCCCATGAATTTCTTGCCCTGTTTTAATATGGATTGCATGGCAGACTCATTCACCATAGAGCTAAGCAGTATGAATTTAGATATTTTACTTTTTAATGTCTCTAAGACTCTGATTTTGTGGCTGAAAACTAGTGCTTTCTTAGACTTTTTTATTTCCACCAGCAGCAATGGTAGTTGATTTTACAAATAGGGAAAATTTTTATTCCTTTTTCACAAGAATTACTGCTAATGAAATAAGAGAAATTGGATCAAACATGAGATGATCAGCCATCCTAACTCTGGAGACTCACTTTCTGTATGTTGACTGAAGCATTTGTTGCCTTTATAAAATTACACATTACTTCCATATTATGGGCTTTTACATTCACTTGAGGATAACCTTGAATGTCTAGTTTCTCAAATGTTAAGGGTCTGTCACTGTGTTCTTAGCATTTCCCACTGATGTCAGTTGGTTAGCTTAGGAACATAAAAATACATTTGAGTTCCAGTTTGCATACTAAGTACCATGTCTGATACATTAGATGTAAAATTACAGTCTACTGGGACTTCCCTGGTGGTCCAGTGGTTAAGACTATGCACTACCACTGCAGGGGGCGAGGGTTGGTTCAATCCCTGGTTGGGGAACTAAGATCCAGCATGCCGTTCAGCACAGCCAAAAAATAAAAAATAATGAAACAAAATAAAATTACAGTTTATTCAGATAATTACTTGCTTATAAATGGATTTTTATTTTAAAATATAACTAACAAACCTGCAGATTGCTTAACTGTAAAGAGTATATGGGTTCTTAGTTTTTGTTGGTTTATGAATAACAAGAAAACTTTTCAATGGAAAGAACACTTAGCATTATAATAAAACCAAAGTTTCACATTTCCTGGATTCAGAATGCTTTCGTGTAGACTACAACAATTTTAAACATTTCAGGAAAAAATAATTTTTGATTTTGTGACATTTTAAGAGAATGGTATTATAAAATTAAGATTGTATTTGATACGTTACTTCTTTGCCTTTCTCCAACCAGAGTGATTTATTTAGGTTGAGCAGCTAAATCTGACAATGCGCTTTTGTCAAACAGCCCTTATATGTTCACAGAAAATCTGTTGCTTAGGTTTATTCATTTATTTAAGTCTGTGCCTGTCCTATATGTAAAATACTATACTTGGTGTTATTACAAGATGTTAATGCAAATAAATGAGATACCCTCAGTCTTTGAAGAGTTAGCAATCCATTAGAGATGAGACAGATACGCAGGTGACGGATTCAGGATAATCCAAGAGGAGGTATTTCAAGAGGAGGTATAGGAAAGTACCATAGTGGTATTTCTTTGAGGAAATTTGAGTATGTTCATAGGCCAGGTGGAAGGAACCACCAGAGAGGAAGGAATTAAAGAAAAACAACTGACGGAACTGAGGTAGGGGAAGGAGTTAGGATCAAAAGTACAGAATGGAGGGTTAACTTTGAAAATGGAAAAAGATATACCCTTTTTTTATATTGGGGAGAAGAAGCTAAGATCAAACAGTGACAGAAAATTGAGGTGGAAAGGAGAAGGAAAATGAGGAATAATTCATGTTAGATTGTTCCATTTTTCTTGTTTCTCTTTTAAGTAGTTGAGGCGGTCATCGGAGGGGAAGGCAAAGATAATAGTAATAATAATAGCAGCAGTTACCATTTGTTGAATTCTTACTATATGTGCACGGCTAGCTGCTTTATTATATACACTTCATAATTGTTAAAATACTCTTATAAGGTAAATAGTATTATGCCTATTTTACAGATAAGGGAAATAAATTCAGAACTGTTTAGTAATTTGTGATTGCAAAGACTGTGAGCCCTTCATTACCTTTCTTTCTTTTTTCTTTTTTTTAATTGGAGTATAGTTGCTTTACAATATTGTCCTAGTTTCTCCTGTACAATGAAGCGAATCAGCTATATGTATACATATATCCCCTCCCTCTCATTATCATACTACCTCAAAGATTTTGAATGAAATGGATTTGGGGGTATGAGTAGAGTGAATGAGGTTTGACATAATTACCTTTAAGGAATTGATTAAAATAAATAAAAAGGAGTAATAAGCTTCTTGTGGGTCAGCTCAAATTAAAGAAAACAGATGTGTATCTTATGTCTCTGAATTTGCCTATTCTAGATACTTTATATTAAGTGGAATCATACAATATTTGTTCTTTTGTGTCTGACTTAGTTCGCTTAGCATATTTTCAAGTTTATCTATGTTACACAGTCTATAGCTGAATAATACTCCATTGTATGTTTGTACCACATTTTGTTTATCCATTCATCTCTTTATAGACACTTGGGTTGTTTCCACCTTTTAGCCATTGTGAATTAATGCTGCATTGAACATTGGCACACAGTTCTTTGGGGTATATAACTAATAGTGAAATTGCTAGGTAAAACAACACAAATTTATTATCTTACAGCTCTGGAGTTCAGAAGTCCTAAAATTAGGGTTTGGAAGGACTGCATTCCTTCTGGAGGCTCTGTGGAGAGAATTCATTTCCTTGCCTTTTCTAGCTTCTATAGGCTACCTACATTCCTTGGTTTATGGCCTCTTCCTCCATCTTCAAAGCCAGAAGTAAAGTGTCTTTAAGTCTGTCTGTCTGTCTGTCTTCCCCTCTCTGTCTCTCTCTCTTCTCTCTCTCTCTCTCTCTCTCTGACCCCTGTTTCCATCATCATATCTTCTCTGACTCTCCTGCCTCGCTCTTTCTCTTATAAAGACCATTTTGTGATTACACTGGGTCCACCCAGATAATCGAGGATAAATTCCCCCCATCTCAGGACCCTTGACTTGATCCGATCTGCAGAATCTTTTTTACCATGTAAGGTAACTATTCATAGCATCTGAGATTAAGATGTGGACGTCTTTGAGTGGCTGTTCTGCCTGCCACAGTACTTTATCCTAAATTAAATCTGACCAACTGTATTATAGATGACAATTGGAAAAGTAAGGCCGTTGTATAAAGTTTTATAAACATCAGTAGGAAAAACCAAAGCATTTTCTTTAATGTAAAAAATATTAGACAAATTTTAAAGGCTTGCTCACTTTTTAATCAAAGGGCAGACTTCTTTCATCAGTATTCCTGACAGATGGTCATCTACCCCTGTGCTTGGACTCATCCATTGTTAG